TTATCTTCTGAAAAGTTAGTTGTGTTTTGTTCTTTTAAGCAGTTTAACCTCATTAGATTGACATTCTTAAACTCTGTCACCTTGCAGTTGGCAAAAACTGAAATCTTTGCTCAGCCATTTAGCAGACACCTGTCATTCTGTGTGGGGTCTGCCCCATAAATGTACAATTCAAAGACCAACTGAGGATACTAGTGGCATTGACTCTGTCAACCCCAGTTCATCTTCAGACTCCTCAAGCACATTTAACTAGTGCTTTGTGCTTGAGATTCAGCAGCCAGGGCTATAAGCTTAGGGAATGGCCCGTGGTCCCCAGCTGACACAAGGGCAAGTCATACCCAGTGCTGTGGGCAGCTCCTTTCTGATACAAGGATTTAATCCTAGACCAATTTTGCTTCTTTTGTTACTCTCCAGAGCCTTTAAATTGTTTTTTCAAATGTTTATGATTATTTTCTGCAAGAGATTTAGTTTAATAAATATTACTTATCTATCTCAGAAACTTTCTGGGGTATGTTTTACAATTATTGAATTATACTCTTATCTAATTCATTAAAAAAATTAATCTATATGTTTGATGTGGTCTATTCTCAAAATCATTGTTTGCCTTTAAAATTTGTTTTCAGAGGAAAAACATTGTTCACAGTTGCATATTTTTAATTAACATAAGTAGCAATTATTGGATTGAAAACATTTTTTTCTAGCACTGGGCACTATTCTATACACTTTACATGTGTCAAAGAACAAAATCACAGCAATTTAGTTTAATGATCTTAATTAGTTTTATTTTCGATTCTAGAATCGGACTTTTCATTTCATAAAATAGAATTAGTGTTCTGAAGAGCTGAATAGAACAGGTTGGTTTTTTCAACAAAGAACAGCTGAAGAAAGCAGAAATAAATTTCAAAGTTATTTTCCTTGAAAGATGAGGACAGGTGACAGAACAAAGGAAAAATAACTTATTAGCTAGCATCAGGTTATTTCAGGTTACTTCTTTTGTGTAAGGATTAAATCGGGGAACTTCTTTATCATACCAATTGATACTGGCCTATTCAGGAAATTTAGCCTTAGTGGCTCTAATCCAGATTTTTGGACAGTCAGATAGTTTAGTTTCTGCTTGGTGATATGGAACTCTAGTGTGAGTGACTTCATTTTAGTACAGGAGCTCAGTTCCAAACACTGGACTCCTATAATTTTTGCTTAACTTCTGCATACTGTTATGCTCTATGTGCAAATAAGGGAATCATACAGAATCAATCATTGGAGACATAAGTTATCAAGGCAACACAACTAAGAAGTTTGGTGTCAAAAGTTAGTTCTACATGTCTTAGTCTCTGAAGTATACACACAAAAAAGCATGAGAACATGTTTCTATACTGATTGGAAGGAATTTCTAGAGAGCAGATGTTTAATATTTACAAAGAGCAGTGTGATAACTATGGAGCAAGTCCAAGAAGTGACAGGAAATAATGAACTTAGTTGTTGAAGGAAAATCTAATGTTGAACAGATGGAAATCATTCTTCCTTAGGGAGTGATAAAGAAGGCTGTGAAGGTAACTGAGAGACCTTTTAGTGGACACTGGGTGAAATTTTGGGGAAAATGGCAAAAATTAGAAATAACCCGGTTGGAAAATAGTAAACAAAACAAGATAAAGTGCTTGATGGTGGGGCTCAGAGCTCAATTGAGTTTGTTGCCTTGTGGCAGTAGGTTGCGTCCATTATGAGGTTTCCTCTCTGCTCTGCTATCTGTGGGAGGATTAAAAAAATGCATGTGTTAGTCTGAGAGGATTTAAGAGGCAGGAGTGATGGAAGAACAAAGATTAAAAAAGAATTTGGGGTACTTTTATAGTAGTAGAGTTTTCTGTATAAACATCAGAGATTAGTTGGGTTGCTTTCCATTTGGAACTCTTTCTTAAATTTGATTGTGATTTGTAGGATAAAGTTATCTTAAAAATAAAGTGTGGTAATCCATAGTAAGAAAATACCATGGGTAAAATGAATGATACTACGAGAAAAGCTTGAAGCCTTGCAATAATATGAGTACTTACCATGAGTCTGACATGATTAGCCAAGTGACATCAGGAAAGGTACTAACTGGGCCTCTAGTTGTTTTGTAACATATGGATAGCTCTTACAGTTCTACAACATGTATCTTTTCCACCTTCATAGATAAATTAGAAAACTCACATTTTAAAAATAAGCTGAAAATTGACTTAGTTTGTGCAGTTTCTTACATTGCTGTAAGAATTTTTTGTTGCAGTTTATATAAAAAGTTAAATGTTTTGGCAGTGCTGAGGATCAAATCCAGAGCCTTGTGCATGCTAGGCAAGCATTCTGCCACTGAGCTATACTCCCAATAGCTCTGTGAACCTAATGGCACTCTATTTGGGTGCATTTTGGAACAGTTAAATCTGCTTTAGCCAATAATAAGTCAGATTTTCTGTGAGACAACCATATGAATAAAATATGCAGATAAATATAGTGTATGACAGTCCTGTTGTTCTCCATTTCCTACCTAATCTTATAAAGTCATCCCAAGGTTTTATCCAGTAAAATAAAGTGTTTCATTAATCTTGAGCCATTGTCTGTATTCCTTATAAACCTGTTTGAGAACCGTCCATGGGGGGTATGTATTCTGCAATTGCTTTTCAAAGCAGGAAACATCCCTGCATAAAGAAGTAATAATATCTCTGGCCTCTAGTGGGGCAGGGAGCCAGTGTCTTCTTTTGGTCCCATAACACTGGGTTGGGGGTGGGGTGGGAATGATACAGTAGATTTTCACACAGGGTAAGAGATCACAGGTTCATAGGTAATGAGGATGAGAGTGTCCCCTTCCTCTGTTATTGATGTCTAGAATCTGATTTCAGTAACTACCAACTCTTCTGAGAATATATTAAATGTTCAATTCCAGATTACTACAATGCAGTGAATATTGAAAAAAGTCAAATGAATTTCTTTATTTTTCCAGTGAATGTAAAAGTTATATTTACATTCCACTGTGGTCTATTAGTGCAATAACATTGTGTCTGAAAACATTTAAAATATAAATTAAAATATACTTTATTGCAAAAAATCCTACCTGTCATCTAAGCTGTTGGAAAAAAGGTGCCAATGGACTCGCTTGATGCAGATTTGTCACAAACCTTCAGTTTGTAAACAGTGCGGTATCAGTGCATTACAATCACACAAAATGCAGTAAAACGGGGTATGGTTGTGCATTTGTGTTTAGCATCTAAAGGAGAGAAAAAGTCCTTTCTGTATCTTTAACTATTGGTTCAGCTTTAACCTTTACCAGCCAATAAAGCCTTTCGTGGACCACCAGAGGAATTTTTTCCTTTCTTTTTTTTTTTGGTAGTACTGGCTTGGGCAGATAAGGTGTGTGAGCCAACCTGACTATGGCATACCTGCTTGAGGTACATCCTTTGCCCTTCACTACTTCATGACAGATGTTCCCCTAGAGGGAAGTGAGAAGCCTGTGGGAACTTGTTAGTATAGTGCAACTGTAAAGCTGCCCATGTGCACAGAAAGTTCATCAGTGTTTGGCAGTTTATTACTTCTATAGAGCAATGTTAATCCCTTCATCCCTCCCTCCCTTCTCTCTTCTTCCCTTCCTTTCCTCCCTCCATCCCTCCCTCCGTCCCTCTGTCCCCCTTTCCCTCCGTCCCTCTCTCCCTCTGTCCCTACCATATGCTAGCCCCTGTTCTAGGAATGGGAGACATAGGAAAGAAGTCATAGTCCCTGCCCTATCATGTTCTAGTGGGGGCAGGTAGGAAGTAAAACAAGGGTAATAAGTACCAGGGGAAAAAGGGACTGTTCTTTTCAACTGGGTAAGTTGACAGTTGAGCAGAGGCCTGAAGGAAAGAATGTGATGTTGAGAGTTTTTGTACACATTACAAAACCTCATCTAATAAGGTCTGTGGGTATAGCTCAGTGGTGGAGCTCTTGCTAGCATGCACTTGGCCCTGGGTGAAACTCCCAGCTACACAAACAAGAGGTAAAGGTTTTTAAAGTTCCCTTTCTAGGTCAGTCAATTGGAAAGTGTTTCTTCCCTGTAAAGCATCAATCCTAGGGGCTCATTGTTTGGTGAACAGTTAGTGCCTTTTTGCAAAGGAAAAAACAGATTCAGCCCTATGATTCATAGTTTGAAGAGTAGGGAAGGACTGGGATTTTGCCCCACTCCTTAGTGCAGGAGTGCCTTCTGAAGGTACATAGTAGAATTCCAGGCACACAGGATAGCAAGGTCAGTGACCCTGAGTGGGAGCATATTCAGGAAACCCAAGTAGCTAAGTGAGAGAACAGAATTGAATTAAGAGACAAGGTCAGACTTTGGGTTCATCTATACTAGTGCAGCTGTAATAAGAACTCCTTAGGGGCTGAGGGTGTGGCTCAAGTTACAGAGCACTTTTCAAGCAAGTACAAGCAAGAGGCCTTGAGTTTTACCCCTAGTACTACCATATGAAGATAACTCATTATCTCTTTATAGTTTTCAAAATACTCTCATATATGATCACAACAGCCCATTATAAGAAGCTCAAAGAAGTTAAATAACTTAGCTAAGTAATACAATTAACAAGAGCTTAGAATTTCACTGAAGTCATATTTGCAGCCTCTTCATGATTCTGTACTTCAGAGATTTAAAGCACTGAATCTGTTTAAAAATATTATCAGCTCCTTCACTGAGCTATGTTACAAAAGTAGACCTTTTTGAACGATGTGCTGTGATTTGAAGTATCTTCTTATTGTTCTTTTTCAGTAGTTAACTTGAACAGGTTAAAACAATTCTCTATTGTTGTAACCTAGATACTTTTCATAAAGTCATTTACAGCTATTTCCTCATTTTAATGGGTCTTTAAAATACCTTTTAAAATTACAACACATTTTTGAAAGTGTGGCACCTTTTACTAAGCCAAATTATGCAATTGTTAGATTAATTAAAAAAAAAAAAACCTTTAATGAAAATAATAGTCCATATATTAATTGGGGGTTTTCCTGTGACTGTTTTGTAGCTAGAGATGGAAAAACTTCAGCTACAAGCCCTTGAGCAAGAACACAAGAAGTTGGCGGCCCGCCTTGAGGAGGAGCGGAGCAAGAACAAGCAAGTGGTCCTCATGCTTGTGAAGGAGTGCAAACAGCTCTCGAGCAAAGTCATAGAGGAGGCCCAGAGACTGGAAGAAGTAATGGGCAAACTAGAGGAGGAAAAGAAGAAAACAAATGAGTTAGAAGAGGAGCTCTCAGCTGAGAGACGAAGAAGCACAGAAATGGAAGCTCACATGGAAAAACAACTCTCTGAGTTTGATACTGAACGGGAGCAGCTTCGTGCCAAGCTGAACCGAGAAGAGGCACATACCACTGACCTCAAAGAGGAGATAGACAAGATGAAAAAAATGATTGAGCAACTGAAAAGGGGAAATGACAGCAAACCAAGCCTCTCTCTCCCACGGAAGACAAAAGATAGGCGTTTGGTTTCCATATCTGTGGGGACAGAAGGACTTGTGACAAGGTCTGTTGCTTGCCAGACAGACCTAGTGACAGAAAGCACTGACCATGTGAAAAAGTTGCCTTTGACTGTACCTGTAAAGCCTTCCACAGGGAGCTCCCTAGTTTCCACAAATGCAAAAGGGAATGTGTGCACCAATTCTTCACTGGTCAGACCAAGTATTGACAGGCAGGCTTCCCAGGGTGACTTGATTGGCTCCTCTCTACCTACTCCCCCACCTCTAAGTACAAGGAAAGTTGAGGAAAATGGACCAAGCACTGACTCAACACCTGATCTAACAAGTAGCACACCTCCAGTTCCCAGTAGTGCTGTCCCTCCCACCACTCAGGCACCAAGCATAGCTCCCCAGAACTACTCACAAGCTCCTCCTATGCACAGTTTACATTCACCATGTGCCAATGCATCTTTGCATCCAGGTCTCAACCCACGAATCCAAGCAGCTAGATTTAGATTTCAGGGCAATGCTAATGACCCAGACCAAAATGGAAATACTACCCAGAGCCCTCCAGCAAGAGATGTCTCTCCTACAAGTCGTGACAACTTAGTGGCCAAACAACTAGCTCGGAATACTGTGACCCAAGCACTGTCAAGATTTACAAGCCCTCAAGCAGGTGCTCCCCCTAGGTCTGGAGTGTCCCCAACAGGGGATATTGGCACCTACCCTCCAGTTGGTCGGACCAGTTTAAAGACTCCTGGTGTAGCACGAGTTGACAGAGGAAATCCTCCTCCTATCCCACCAAAAAAGCCAGGGCTCTCCCAAACCCCTTCTCCACCACACCCCCAACTCAAGGTTATTATGGATAGCAGCAGAGCCTCAAATGCAGGGGCCAAAGTTGATAACAAAGTTGTGGCTTCGCCTCCCTCCAGTTTGCCACAAGGGAACAGGGTAATAAATGAGGAGAACCTCCCTAAATCATCCACCCCTCAGCTGCCACCAAAACCATCCATAGATTTAACTGTGGCACCTGCAGGCTGTGCCATTTCAGCCCTGGCCACGTCTCAGGTGGGTGCCTGGCCTGCTGAAACCCCTGGACTGGACCAACCTGCATGTTCAGACAGCTCCCTTGTCATTCCCACCACCATTACCTTTTGCTCTTCCATAAACCCTGTTAGTGCCTCATCCCGGAGGCCAAGTGCCTCAGACAGCCTCCTGGTAACAGCATCAGGTAAAGGGGTTGAAATCTTACACCCTTTTAAAAAAAATGTAGCCTGTCCTCTCACTTATCTTAATTTCTTTTACATTGCCTTGAAACTTTTATTTATTTATTTTTCTTCCTATTTCTGTGCTCTTTTTTTTTAACTTTCTTTTAAGGCTCGGGGGGTATGGTGATTCATCTTGCTCTATGAATTGTGGTTTCATTATGCTAAGTGTTTTTTTCCTTTAAAATAACTTGAAAATAGTGGTTTGAAGCACATGAAGACCATTAATTTTAGAGAGACTAAAACATTTCCAGGGGAGGAAAGAGTATCCCTTCTTATTAAATATTTATCTCATAAGACCTCAGTATTAATGAATCACCATCAAGCAGTATGTGTTTAGTCCTGGCCCTTCTGGGATGGTATAAGAAAAATCCTTTCAAGTCATTATTAACATTACCCTGAATGATCACATTGATTAGGTTTGTTCTGCAGTTGATATATTCTGAGTATTGATATAAGATTGGTATTAAGACTTGCTTCTTATCCTAAAAATTGTTTATACATCTCTGTTCTAAGTTTATTTCAAGGTCCGTTTACCCTGTTTTAAGCTGTTGTCTTCCAGGACTTGAGCACAGATGGATACCATATCATGTGGGCTGTATTAGTGAAGGTTTCCATTGTAAATGTGATTTGTGAACTCAGTAAATCTGGGACTATTGGACAGGAAAGAACTAATTTTTTTCCCCCTTTTGTTGTGCATTGCTAGAGAAAACATTGCTTTTTCCTAATGTGTTGAAGACCAAACCCAGGGCCTTGCCCATGTGAGCCAAGTGCCCTACTACGGAGCTACATCCCCAGCCATTGGATTCTTTGTTGAGTAAATGTGACTCGAAATAATGTTCAGGTTCAAAGTTCTGTTGATACTTGGGTCTAGTCTCTGCTGTCCTGGGACCTCAGTGATTTTAGTGAATGCTGTTGGTTCTACAGTGGGAGTACTTTAGTAATTAAAGGAAAGTTTAAATCATTTAAAATGTAAAAGAGAGAGTAGAATTTGAAAAGATGATTATTAGGTTAATAAAAAGAATACACATGAACTCTTGCATCTGATTATAGGCTGTTCCCTTGAAATTGAGTTCTTTGAGAGGTTGTATCTGTGTTTCGATAGGCAAAATTGAGAACTGGAAATAGAATGGACTTTGAAGTTACTTGGATCTGTGTTTGAATCCAGGCTCTGCCATTTATGACTGCATTTTTGGTGGTTTTTCTCACATGGAGCAAGTTTTCTGTTCCTTAAGGTAGAGCTTATTCTATTCACAGGGTAGGGGGGAGGGTGGCTTTTAAGGAACATCAAAAAACCTGACACTGAATTTGGAACATCATGAGTACCCAGTAAGTAAAAGTAAAACTACTGCCTTGATGATAGAAATTTTGTTTTAGAATTAATGTTAGTGGTATAACATCTTTAGAAGCATTCAACATTATATACTTTTTATTTAAAATGGTATTACTGAGCTGGACAGCCCTTGTTATGGCCTGGAATAGTGTTGGCTCTTTCCCACAAAGTAAGCCCGTCCTTAGAAGAGGAATGTTTTCTCAGGAGAATCAGAGAATAGTGTACTACTGTACAATCTCAAAAAAACGTCACTGTGTGATGGCAGTGCTTTGACATTACTTCAAAGACTTTATCATTGAAAATGCTTCCCAAGGCATAGAAATGTTGTCAGTTTTTAAAGAAACTACAAAAAGTCATCTGTTGTTTTGTACCTTGAGGTTCAGCCAGCCTTTGCCTCAGTTATCACTGTGGTCCAGGACCTAGTCTCAAAAGTCTTAGGTTTCAGCAGAGATGCTTCAAACCCAGCATCTATGACTAAGAAGCATTTCTTTAAAGCTGGGCTTTAAGTTTTAAAATCTAATCTGTTACATAGTTGTTAGAACAACCTGCCTAGTACACAATGGAATTTTGGGTAAAAAAGCCAGAACTCCTATCAAAAATGCCCTTTGCGTGTGTCTAGGGAGCCAGAGTATAAAAATAATGGTTCCATCAAATTAACAGCCATTAGAGATATGTAAAATTGATTCCTGATTTCTATTCTCTTATTTTGCGTTTAGCCAAAGTACTCTCAGAACTGTAAGATTAACTTTGGCAGAATAACAGGTTTCTGTGTAATTTGATTTAAAATTTGGCTTTTTAGGACGGAAGGGAGGCACTGGAGGACTTCAGTCCTTTAGCATATGTTTATACTGAGTACCCCCTTATCTGTTGGGGGACAGAACTGTGTAAATCATCTGTGGATGTAGGTCAGGTCAGCCTGAACTTTCCAACTGAGATTTAGGATTCCAATTCTGCGTTCTATTTAGAGTACCCAATTATTTCTTTCTTCTCTCCCCTATTTTTTTGGTCAGTGTTGGGGATCAAATGCAGGGCCCTAGGCATGCATGGGGGAGCACTCTACCACTGAGCTATATGCCCAGCCCACTTGCAACTAGGAAGCACCAGAGCTCCCTGCATCCTGCTTCTTAACTGACTATGCTTGGGGGAGCTTGTGCCTCTCCAGGTTATGAGCCCCCTGAAGGGCATTAACCTTCAGAGCACCTACTAACAACATTGTAGTTGCTAGGAGCAGGGCCCAGGGACAGAGCTCCCTTGCCAAATACCTGGCAGATGTCTGTTCCCTTTTTTGTGATCACATAAGCAAGCACCAAACTGAATATAAAGTGTCAGGATTGGTTCATTTCTGTCCATTTATAGATACCATCTCAGAAAGCAAATACTCTCTGAGCTATTAGCTTTGTCATCTAAAAATGAAAGCATTGGATCAAAAAATAAGAATATTTCCAAACCATAAAATGTCTTCTTAATCTTGTGTGATAAATTTTGAAGCAATATTTCACTCACTGTCCCTTCTCGGACAACTACTAGATCCCATGGTCTTTCAAACGCTAAAATCCTATGTGTCCGTGTGAACATCCATCTATGACAGTAACAACTAAGTTAAAGCCTGGAAGAAAGCTGGGATAACAGAAGTTACCATTTTAATGTATTCCATTCTGCATTCACTAATGATTGGCAGCTTTTATGGGAAAATGTGAAATTTTAAAATAATCTTTTAAATTCTTAAATGAATTAAAAATTTTTGTTCCTCTTAAACTTGTCAGATGAACACATTGCAGTTGTTAGATGAACAGCAGCTTAAAGCAGAAATTATTCTAGGCAACTGAGTTCCCATACCCTTGGAGATTTCTCTGACTGTCTTTTATTTATTTTTTTCTTTTTTGGTTGGTATTGTTACTTAACTTGATTCACTTTATTTAATTTTGTTCAGACTTTTTACCATAGTTAAACATATATTTAAAAAATTATTTTCGTGTGATTGGCTTGAAGGCTAAATCAGAAAACACGAATGATCTGGACTATGGCATTAACCTCCTGCATTCTCTGAAGCTGATGCCAGAAGCTGTTCGCAGCTCTTCTTCCATTTGTCATTGCATGGTCTGTTTGTTCCCTTCCTGGCCTGCTGTGCAGGATGCTCACTTTTCACTAATGTTTGCATATGACACCGCAAAGCTGAATGATTTTGCTAACATCATTAGAGTAGCTGTATGAATATAGGTCTGTTCTGTCTTTACTAAACCAGTTAACTAAATATTGCCATTTTTATCATTGTTGGGAATTTCAGATGAATACTATAGTGTTGTGATGAAATTTTATTTTTCCCATATTCATAGTGGGATTTATTAAAAATAACTTGTTCATGGTAGAGAAAATTGGGAATGACAATGAAGATATATCATTTAGTTTAAGAATATGTGGTGTTTATAAAGCATTTATTTCTTTGTAAAGATTTTCAGAATATTTTGCAGTCCTCTGAGAAAAGGTGGACACTTGTATATCTTTTTCTGTAGTTCCATGTAACAGAAAAAGAACTGTAAGACTCTTTCATGGCCTAAAGATTGGAAAAATTTTTGAAGAAAGTATTTTATCTTTGAGGTAACTTAATGTTAAAACATGGTTTCCCAGAAATTATATCTATAGATGAATATTTCAATACAAAGCAGTTGAAAATATATTTATATTGAAATTATCTCTCACAAAATCTAGAATTGTGGTGAACTCCCCTCACCCCAAACAGTTGAATACATACATGTTGGTATTCATAAAAAACTACCAGTATCCAAGACACCTTTGAGACCTCAAGAGACAGAATAAAAGAATGCGTGTGAGAGAGGAAGGGAAGGGGAGAGAGAGACTGAGAGCACGAGCCAGGTTCCCTCCTGTTCTACAGAGGATAGTCATGCAATGCCTTCCTATTGCCTGTGTCTGCTTTACAGTCAAGGTTTCATACTTTGGTGTTTTTCTCTCTGTTTATCGTCCATTTCTAATAAGTACTGATTTAATTTTTGTGGGCCTGTTTTTTTGTTTGTTTGTTTTTAAGAAAATACAAAAGGTAAAATGTACCAGAGAGATGCCTTCTTGTAAGTATGAAGTAAAAGTAACTACCTTTGTAAGAAGAACTAATGAATATCAATGGGAAAATGTCATAAAGTTGATAAATACCGGATTTTATGAACATTTTAATTTTGTCTGTCACTACAATCCTAATAAGATGAAAACAATAAGTTATTCATGGACCTGAATGATTATGAAGATGTGATATCAATTTTAATAAGCAGTATGTTTTACTTGTATAAATGTCCTATTTATTATAAAGAATTTTTAAAATACTAAGAGATTGATTTGCTATACAGCCTTTTAATTTATTTGAATAATTTAAGGTCAATAAATTGGCTTTAATTATAAAAATTAAGTATTACATACATATTAATATGACACATACTTAGAATACTATTCTGATATCAGTGTGCAGGGAATATAAAGCATCCATGCATTATATCTTACTAAAGAGAATGTTACCATATATATGCAGAAAGTCTGCCCTGAGGAATGAGGATGTGTATGTATAAACATTACTTAGAAGAATTGGGGCTCTGTAAGGAGAAAACTAGAATGGTGTATTTTGAAAGTTAACTGTATTTAAGCTTCAAAGTCACAAATACCTATATATCACTTTAAATAAACATTTTTACTTTACTGTTTTTACAGCCATTTGATCAAGGAAGAATTCAGAAAATTTTCCATGCTATATACAGCCGACTTCACACACTTAACCGATTCTCTTCTAAAGCTGCTAAATACTGATGAGAAATACCTAACCATGATAACTCTTATGATTTTGTTAAAACTGTATGGTAGAGTGTCCTGTTTTGTTGGCTGATTAAAAGTTTGTTAGACCTATTGTGAAGATGGTGAGGTGATAGTCTTCAAAATTGTTACTGAATATTTGTACTGTTATGGTCTAGAGCCAATCAGTATTTTATGTTTATTTATTTATTTATTTATTTATTTATTTTAACTCTTAATACTGAATAGTAGTTAATACTCATTATTTTTTTCCCAAGTAAGGGAATTCAAGGAATATAAATAGACTCTTTGGTAGAGTTAGGTTCATCTCACTGGTTTATGTAAAATTAATAATCAAGTACCATGGAAATACTGTTGAAAAGGAAAACCTCTATTCTTACTATGATACTACCTTATACCTAAAAGTATCACTTTAATTTTCAGACTGATATTGAAATTGAGGGAATATTTACATAATTTTAAAATTCAAATATCCTTGAAATTCTGAAGAGGAATTTAAACTTTTAAAATATGACAGCCATCTTAGTTTAAAACCAATCACTAGTTTAACACTTGTTTGTGCCAGACTGACAACTAAAAATAATTTGTCAGCATGTATGTTACTTTAATGAGCAGCAGATGTAAGATCTGGAATAACCATATAGATTCATGCTAAGAAGATATTAACAGGTTGATAATGTTAAAAGCCACATAATCCTCTAGGGGGACACATTCACATTTGTGTGTGTGTGTGTGTATGTATGTAATTCAAAAAGGAATGGTAATGTCTGTCTCTTGTCCTTTTTTCTACTCTCTAATGGGGGTCACTTTAACCTACAGGCTGGTCACCCTCCCTAACCCCTTTGCTAATGAGTGGTGGTCCTGCCCCCCTGGCTGGCAGGCCCACCCTTCTTCAGCAAGCTGCTGCCCAGGGAAATGTCACTTTATTATCAATGCTGCTTAATGAAGAAGGACTGGACATTAATTACTCCTGTGAAGATGGCCATTCTGCCTTGTATTCTGCTGCTAAGAATGGACATACAGGTAAAATTGGTGAGATCTTATCACACTGCCCACTTGCAAAAGCCTTGAATGTCAGAAGTATTCATAACCATTGTTGTTACCATGAACCAAAGTTCATTTGGTTTCCAATTTTCTCTTACAGGTAGGGGATAATTTTTTGTTACATAAGATTTAAAGTTTTCCAAACATTAAAGAATTAAATTGTACAGTTCCTTTACAGCTGTAAAGCTTTATTGCAGCTCATAAAAAGTAATCTTTGTTTTATGCCCAATGAAATGTATTGTGCATTAGAAGTGTGAGGGCTAGAAATTAGAAAGCACATTTTAGAATAAACCATTGATCTGTAATCACTTTCATTAGGACAAAATAGCCCTAATTTCTCTGTTAGCAATATCTGATGTGGGAGAAGGAGCATCAGGACTTCAGCAAATGCTACAATGAGGGAAAATTTTAGTATTAGGAAGAGTCATAAGTCTGAAATTGTTCTGTGGTTGCAACAATTTATAGTTATTTGGATTTTTTTTCAGAGAACTGGGAAGTTATGTAACTATAAATGACATATCAATGAAGACTAGGAATTATTCTTGTTCTTTAAAGTGCAAATCTGTAGTTAAATATACTAAAACATATGGTAATGCAAAGAAAGAGATGGTTTGACTCCACATGAAAAATGCACATCTCATTGCATGTGTAAGCTATATGACTATTGATTGGTTCAAATAAATACAAGATTCTGGCGAGTCAAGAAGGCTTAGTAGTTTTAAAGTACTTTTTTTTTTTTTTTACTATAGAGAAATTAAATCTAGGTAATAAAAAGAACATCACTTAAATTAAGTGACTTTCTGTAACCTTTCCTTGATCCTTATCCCTGCAGTTAAGTGTAGGATGGGTACCATTATAGAAGCATTTTAATGATTAAATTAATATCATAAAGTAATAACTTAACTTTTTAAATACAAGAATGGTATTTCAATTTGGTAAATAGATTTAGTTCCATCTTAAAACATTTCTGGGATTACCTTGTGGAAAAATCTGGTAAGGCATTTTCTGGCACATGGCATTCCTTTTACTCATTTAGCAACCCTTCTCAAAATACTGAAAAAAAAAAATGAAGTTGGTAAGTTTAATGGTATAATAATCTTTGGGAAAAGGGTCTGCTTTCCCTGTAACATGGTCTGTGGAGTTCCCCCTCTGTCATGATAGAATTGTCAGACTAACTGTAGAGGGGACAGGTCCTATGGATTTAGAATCTATCTGCAGCTTGCAGAGAACTTTGGCTTATCATAGCTTTAAATGGGGGAATTAAAATGGCTTTCTATTAAAAATCCATAGACTGTGTGAGATTGCTGCTGAATGCAGAAGCCCAAGTCGATGCTGCTGATAAAAATGGCTTCACACCCTTGTGTGCTGCAGCTGCTCAGGGACATTTTGAGTAAGTGATGCTTTTAGTTCCTTTTTTCTGTGAAAGCAGCCTCCTTATATAGTTTTGCATATGTGTTACTGCAACTGAGTGTTTAAACTAGTGCTTAAAAATTCATTGGCAAATAAATTCACTGAACAAATTTGGGGATTTAGATGAAAAATGGGACCCTAAATTTCTTCTTCTTAATAATGGCTGAGCATGAAGAAGAACGAAATGTTATCATTTGCTGGTAAATGGATGGAATTGGAGAACATCATTCTGAGTGAGGTTAGCCTGGCCCAAAAGACCAAAAATCATATGTTCTCCCTCATATGCGGACATTAGATCAAGGGCAAACACAACCAGGGGATTGGACTTTGAGCACATGATAAAAGTGAGAGCACACAAGGGAGGGGTGAGGATAGGTAAGACACCTAAAAAACTAGCTAGCATTTGTTGCCCTTAACGCAGAGAAACTAAAGCAGATACCTTAAAGCAACTGAGGCCAATAGGAAAAGGGGAACAGGTACTAGAGAAAAGGTTAGTTCAAGAAGAATTAACCTAGAAGGTAACACCCACACACAGGAAATCAATGTGAGTCAATGCCCTGTATAGCTATCCTTATCTCAACCAGCAAAAACCCTTGTTCCTTCCTATTACTGCTTATACTCTCTCTACAACATAATTAGAAATAAGGGCAAAATAGTTTCTGCTGGGTATTGGGGAGGGGAGAGGGAGGGGCAGACTGGGTGGTAAGGGAGGGGGTGGGGGCAGGGGGGAGAAATGAACCAAGCCTTGTATGCATATATGAATAATAAAAAGGGAAAAAAATAAATAAATAATGGCTGAGTAGTTGTATGTGTGGAAAGTGGAGAAATACACCGCATCCAAACTGTGCATGAATGAACTTGCTTCTGATGAGGTCATCCATAGCATATCAAAACATAGTGAGCAAGGACTGTTGTGAAGTTCCTTGTTCAGTATTTTCTGAAATACAAAGCTTTCGTACTTGTGATGACATTAAAAGTAAAACAAAGAGTTATATTATTTCTAATAATCCTGACTTTCTGCTGGCAATTTATTTGGAATATTTGTCTCAAATATTCATTTTGTTTCACCATTTTTAAAAAACAATTGAAGTAGGAATTTTACATACTGAAAATAGTTCAAGAATAAAGCAGAGCCCATTAATGGAAACATCTAACTTTCTGAAGGAGCTTACTAAGTCAGGCGTAAGCATGACTTCAAAATTTCAAGTCTTATTTTAATAATGGAAAGTAACTATGTTGCTTCCTCTGCCTATGTTAAGAAGGTTATAAGGAGAGCAAACTGCTTTCACCTTTATAGTCCAGCTGTCCTGATAGAAATTTTCTTTAACAAATTAAAGAATTCTCAGAATACATCTTTTAAGATTCACATCAGTATTATTAATCATAAATGTAAATTTATAATATTTAAAATGTATCTTTAATTTGTAGCATGTTTTTTGCTTATTTAACACATACATCTCATCACCCTTAGTATATTTATTGAGAATCATAGACACTGATTTTTTACTTTTTGGATGTATATTGCACCCTACAAAAGGAATTTCTCCTTCTGAGATGTGCTTCTAAGGTAGTAGAAGTAGTCTGTGGTTCCGCTTGCTTGGAGCGTGTAACAGTCACAGGAATGGAAGCATGGATAGCTTTGCAAAAGGAAGAACCCTATCAAAATCCAGAAATCTGTAAATTTATATATGCATGGTATACCACACAATATACCAATATATAACTTATTTTTTAAAGATACATAAACAAGTATATGAATTACAAGAGAAAGAAACAAGAAAATCCACTCGAGTTTATTCCAAATTCGAGCTTTGGGTATTTAGCTAGTTACTAAGTGTTTCAGTCTTGACTGAACCTCCTTTCTCAACTTCTTAAGTGCTTTTCTGCCGAGCTGTGTCCTCATATGCCAGCCCACGTCAGGAGACTGGATTTCTCCCAAGACAGACCTTTCCTCAGCCTCCCTGGTACTTTTTATAGAGAAAGCACATGGTGCCCTGCAGTCTATGCTATTTATAATTATTTTCTCAAGTGAAAAATCACAGAATGACTCAGCAGCCTGATTTTTCCGAGGCTCAAACTATTTTGAATCACAAATGATGTATATACCAAATACAATTCAACCATTTATCCCAATAAGTTAAACCTATTCCAGGGACTCCACTTTTACAAGGTGGTTGGAGAGAAATATCATATAAACCAATTGTTACCACTTGATCAAATGTACTTTAAAAAATTTTTATGCTAGTAATTAAATATTGTGACTAAAATATATTTTCTAGCCATATAAGATCTGTAATAATTGATATGTCTAACTAAAAAGTAACCAATGTATGTAAAAATGCATCTTGTTTTAGCATTATTTTCTATGTATTTTCTTGCTCACGGGGTACTTCACAGGTCAAGCCCAGTTTGTATGTAATTCACCATGGTCTTGTGTTTAGGTGTGTAGAATTACTAGTTTCATATGATGCTAATACTAATCACGCTGCTGCTGGAGGACAGACACCTCTATTCCTGGCCTGTAAAAATGGAAATAAAGAATGTATCAAACTCCTGTTAGAAGCTGGCACTGATCGAAGTGTAAAAACCAGTGTAAGTACCAGGTTTTGTGTGTGTGTGTGTGTGTGTGTGTGTGTGTGCCCTATGTATGTAATTTACAATGTGTCTGCAAACTACTACTGCTAGAACAGAAAAATAGAGCCAGCCCTCCACAGCTACCTTCATAGATTTAACCAATTGGATATGGAAAATTTATTTTTTTAATTGCATGTATGCTAAACACATGTAGACTTTTTTCTTGTCATTTTCCTTAACAATACAGCATAATGACTGTTTATATGGAATTTGCATTGTATTAATTATTATAAGTAATCTAGACATGACTTAAAGTATAGGTAGGTATGTGTTGGCTATAAGTAAATAATATGCCATTTTGTATAAGGGATTTGATACTCTGCATGCATCCATAAGCAGGGGTTGTAGGGATGGCCAAGCAAGGGGTTGGGGGGCAGGTCCCTGGAACCAGTACGGCAGATAACGAGGGACAATGGTACATTAAAATACAGTTACTTCCAGAAGTGGTGGTACATGCCTATACTTCTTAGCACTTGGGAGGTGGAAGCAGAAGGGTCACAAGTTTGAGAGGCCAGCCTGGCTACATAGCAAGTTCAGGGCTAGCTTGTTCTACCTTTCCTCAAAAAGAAAGAAACAAAAAGAGAGAGTAGAAAGAGGGAGGGAAAGGGAGAGACAGAGAGAGAAACACGTAGGTTACTTAAAAAAATTTTTTTTTATTGTGCTGGGTGGGGGCACATTGTAGCATTACAAAAGTTCTGACAATGTATCAAATATATCATACTTGAATTCACCTCCTCCACTGCTCTCTTTCATCCCCCCTCCCCCAATTCCTGAAACAGTTTGAACAGGTATCATTTTTGCATTTACATACATGTGTGTATATTATTTGGACCACACTTAATTTCGTTTTGCTTTTCCTTTTGACTATTGGATTTGGCAAGTATTTGATCTCTATTTGAGTGTCTTCATTGTTCATGAAAAGCTTTGTCCATTAACCTAACCATTCATTCATCCTCAGCCTCAGATTATTCTTCTGTTAAGCAGAAAAATACTATATCCTCATTGTTTTTAGAATTAAGAAAGATCATAGAAGTATAAGGTTTTATTCATTCAACCAATAATTCCCTTAGATCTTGGGTTTTCTTAAGTCATTTCCCCAACAGGAGCCAACAGTTAATGATGCAAAAACATAATAAATCAGGTATAAATGTTTTCTATTGAATCTTATTACCAGAGTTTAAAAAATAACTCTTTTTAAATTTGTTTTCACAACAATGGGATTGGACTTTGAGCACATGATAAAAGCGAGAGCACACAAGGGAGGGGTGAGGACAGGTAAGACACCTAAAAAATTAGCTAGCATTTGTTGCCCTTAACGGGGAGAAACTAAAGCAGATACCTTAAAAGCAACTGAGGCCAATAGGAAAAGGGGACCAGGAACTAGAGAAAAGGTTAGATCAAAAAGAATTAACCTAGAAGGTAACACACATGCCCAGGAAATCAATGTGAGTTAATGCCCTGTATAGCTATCCTTATCTCAACCAGCAAAAACCCTTGTTCCTTCCTATTATTGCTTGTGCTCTCTCTACAACAAAATTAGAAATAAGGGCAAAATAGTTTCTGCTGGGTATTGAGGGGGTGGGGGGGAGAGGAAGGGGGCAGAGTGGGTGGTAAGGGAGGGGGTAGGGGCAGGGGGGAGAAATGACCCAAGCCTTGTATGCACATATGAATAATAAAAGAAAAAAAATGTTTTCAAAATCAGAAAATAGTGTAGTTTTACATTTCTTTGTTATTTCATGTTTTTAATCTAAGAAATATGATACTTATACTTACAAAATTCTACTTTATAGATGCAAAATAAATGAATTTCACATTATCAAGATGAATGAAAAATAAGCAGTACAATGTAAAAATTTAAGTCACATCCAGTATAATAGAGCATAGAGATCCATACTTTTAAGCTAGTTATTGATAAGTTAAACAAAATCTTTAGAAGTATAGAGATAAACAGTATAATTAATAGAGGATTTTAATGAAATAATTAATTATGACTTGTGCCTTTTAGTGAGAAGTATCAAAGGAGAGTAAGACATAGAAAGTTTTTTTTCTAGAAAATCCATATGGTCTTTGCAATGTATATTAAATTAGGGAAGGTAGAAACCTTCCCTAGAAAGTAGAAATTTACATAAGGTGGCTGTGTAAGTATTGGTGTCCACAACCCAACAAAGATCAGCTATGAAACTGCTTTTCCTGTGTGGAGCCTGAGGACTTGCTCAGTTATCAGTGGTCTTGTTGCTCAGTTATCAAGTGGTCTTGTCTTAGCCAAATGAGCTTTGCTGATATGAGATCCAGAACCAGAAAAAAACCCACATCATCAAGGGTCAACTTTAGCAAATGATCAGATGTTTAGCCTAAATTGAAAAAGCTCTCATTGTCTGTTTTTCTCTCTGTCTTCTACCTCATTGTTTTAAAAAAGGTGATATTGCTCATTGAAACTAGTTAACTTAGTAACATGAAATATTAAAAGAAAATCAGTTCTTTTATGAAAAACTTTAAAAACAAATGTGGGTACCTGTGTGTCAGCCATCCCATCTCTATATCAACATGAGAGACTGGAACCAGGGTTTTCCCTAGAAGACAGCTTGTCAAACTTTAGTGCATCCTAGTCACCTAACGGGCTTGTTAAAACAGGTTCCTCCCCAGAGTTTCTGATTCAGTATATGTGGGAGGAGACTGAGTAGTCCACATTTTGAACACATTTTCAGTGGATACTGAATGCTGCTGTTTTGTGGACCACTCCTGTGTACCACTGGTCCAGGAGGGAGTTCCAGGTCTAGTCTTAAGAACCAATTAAGTGGTAGTAGGTGCTCCAAAGGAATATGTTCTAGAAAGTGGACCCAGTAGTTTTAGTGGAACATTTTCTAAGTTTTTAAGAATTATTATTCCTCTACAGTCACATAACACTCAGCAGAGGCCCACAGATGTTCAGTGAAATTATTTGGCTTTATTTGCCCCGGATGTCTACCTTTTCCCTGTGATCTAGAAATTTTGCTTCTGGAAAGATTGCCATAGAATTTTAAGATCAGTAGAGCTAGGTTACTATCCTGTAAGTAAAACTGATTTACAACAGCATTCTTTTAGTATGTTACTAACAATATGATTCTTGTACATAATTTTTAAAAACCTCTTTACACTAAAATTCATTCTTCTTTATACCATTCAATTAAGATTTTAGGTTGTTATACTTAAAGGTACAGGCATGAGCATTATCTGCTCACTCCAGATAGCTGATCATATGTGGGAATAACTTTAAAACAGGAAACATGAGTCATCGCTGTGGGAAATATAGTAGCTGACAGAGGTTGAGGAACTTAGCTTATCACTGATAGTCAGGATGGGAATATCTACTTCTCTTAACTCAGTGGTCCATGCCCAAGAACATTTTGAGGTGGAATTTAAATAACACTGGTTTCAACCTTAATGTTATCCCTTTTTCCTGGTCATTTTATTTTCAGGATGGGTGGACACCAGTTCACGCAGCTGTGGATACTGGTAATGTGGACAGCGTCAAGCTTCTGATGTACCATAGAGCACCAGCTCATGGAAGTGCTTTGAGTGAAGAGGAGCCAGAGGCAGGTTTCTTTGCCTCAGATCGAGAAGAGAGCCCTGAAGGCACATCCAAGCCTGTGGTTTCTGCAGACCTCATTAACCATGCTGACAGAGAAGGCTGGACTGCTGCCCATATTGCTGCTTCAAAAGGTTTTAAGGTGTGTCTGGTAGCAGCTGGCCTCATCATGCAGTTGTAATTTGATGAGTGGCAGTTTTCTGCTATTTATTGCATGTATTCATATTGAATAATTGGAAAGCAAGTGATAGCATTGTAGAAGATGATGTGCTACTGGTAAAAACTAACACTTTCCCCATAGTCAAGGGTATCAGAAACATTTAAAAAAATTCTTGAATTTGGAATCTGTTAATAATGATGAGAGCAATTCCAAACACTTTATTTTATCTATACTAGGAGAAGAAGATTGGCAGCAATTTAGTCCTTTGGTTTGCTCCCTTATGGCCATACTACTAGTTAGAATAGGGCCAGGACTCACATGTGTTCTGCAGAGTTCTTGATCTAGCCCTGTGCCCTCCACGGCAAAGGTACGCACTACGTGTGCTTTCTTGCTGATACATAAGCACTCCAGATTCCACTGAGGTAGAATATGAAAGATTCTGATTATTAAAGAAATAGCAGAGTTTTATATTTTTCTCATGCTTTTTCTATTTAAGTCACCTTAGTAATAATGGGCTTTAGCCTCAGACGTGTGTGCAAGTCACTAGGATAAAAGAGGCACAAAATTGAGCACAAGGTTAATACACATGCCATTGTGCCATTATAAAAATGTAATGATCATGCAAAAAAGAAAGAGACTGTGCATATTTCAAAGAGCAGAGTTGCAGGAATGTTTGCCTTAGGAATGGCTCATTCTGGTGAAGACAGAAATTATTCTGGCCTTTGCAGCCCACTGAGGAAGAATGTTGTTCAGATAGAGGGAGAAGTAGAAATGTAGACATGGAAGTAGGGAGGTGGGTGACAGCTTTTGTTGTATATGAAGAAACTAAGTCTTAAGAAATGGCAAGGCTAATTTCACAAGGTCAGATCATGCAAGGCCCTGATCCCACATCAGTGCTTGATTCTTTTTAGTTCTCAGTCCTTTCCCCATTCGTTAAGAAATTCATGCAAATCATTTTCTAATGTAAGAAAGAAAATTAGACTGAGGCTTTAATTGTAGGTATGGGGGCCTTCAATGACATTTTAAGGAGTTAGATCTCAACTTACTAGTGAAAATACAGTCTTTGAGAGCTTTTAGACAAAGGAATAAGATAACTGGCTCTAAAGTTTAAATTAAAGCAGCATCAGCTTTTAGAAGATTTGAGATTATGAAAAGATTGGCTGTAGAGAGAAACTAAGTGGTAGAATATGTTGAGAACAGTAGAAATAATGAAAGAGATTACAGACTAGAAATGTTCAAGGATCAAACACAGAACAGATAAGAGCAATGAAAAGACCTGAATGGAGAGATAATGATGTTCCAGGGAAGAGCAGAATCAAGGAGATGGAATGTGGTTTTAAAATTTAAGTGCTATGATTTGCTTACTCTAGATGGAAACACCTAGAGATGTGTATTTGGAACTCCTGATCATGTAACTTCCTATTATTATGATCTATTCCAGAAGCTGTTCATTTTGGACTTTGAGTTTTAAAAAGTGAGAAAACAGCATAATTCAGCTCAGTGCTTGTTAGCAAGTTACCTTCCACCCCCACTTTACTCTTTAACAAACAGATACAAAAATTCTGAGAACTTCATACACACACATATACATACATATACATATGTAGAGAGGAGGGTAGGGACAGAAGGGAGATTTAAATTGAATACAATAGTATTTGACATAAAGTTCTTTGGAGACAAAATGGGAAATGTGAATAGTTTAAATTTGAAAATGCAGTTAGTATAGGATTGTGAATCTTATTTGATGGTAGACAGTTGCTTGGAAGGGGTAGTTTGCTACCCACTGTCACTCCAAAAGAAAATCTCTGTAATGTGAGATGCTAATGATAGGAGTGGATTGTATAAGCCCTCAGTTTGGAGGCAAAAACCAAAAGAAAATGTGAGCATCCCTGGTTCAGGATGTTCTGTCTCCTGACTCTTGCTAAGTAGAGGGAAGAGCCCACTCCTTAGGAGAAGTTGCCTTCAGTGGGGATGAGCATGTTGCTGCTCAGCTCCTTCATTTTGAACTCCTAGTTAGCTCTGGAGTTTTGTGATCGTTGATTCCCAGGACTCTGGAAGCAATGGATACTCTGTCCTTGAGTAACAGGAAACATGACCACGTTTTTTCAGAATATGAGTCTTCTGTATTCTCTTAACTTTAAGAAGCATGAGATGAATTTTTGATGAGAGATTTTTAAGTGTATGATTGACAGCATACATGACTAAGCTATTAAAATAATAGATTTTTTAAGCCCTGGAGTAGACATTTAATCTTCCAGTCTAACCTCTTTATTTTACAATTAGGACATTTAAGCCCCAGAGGGTTTAATAGATAGAGTTGGGAATGAAGCCCAGATTGCCTGATCCTATTACTCTTTTCTCTATGCATCCTTCCTTCTTAATCAAAAGTATTTCAAAATATATTTATATCATTTGTCTAAAAATGTTTCTATTCTGGCTGAGGTAGTTCTCCAGACTGTCTATTTATGGCTAAACTGCTAAGGACAGTTTTCTGAAAAAACAAATTACAATTATGAATTGAAGCGTTAGTGGAAACATTCCATACTGACCACAGTAGAGCTTTATAAAATGAATTTAAACTGTAGCATATGTGTGTCCACTCTATACAGGGGGTAGTAACATTGTAGCCCAGAGTACTAGTTACTTTTATCAGCCCTGTGACCAAGTACCTGACAGAAACAACTTAAACGGAGGAGGGATTTATTTTGGCTCATGGTTTTGGTGGGTTCAGTGCATGGGTGCTAGAGCATCATGGTGGCAGGAGCATGTGCAGAAGAGACTGTTCTTCTCATGGCTAACAGGAAGCAGCAAGAGAGAGAGGGAGAACTAGGGGCAAGATATCCCTGAGGACCTACCTCCAGTAACCTAATTCCTCCAGCTTGGTCCCGTCTCCTAACATTTCTAGACCCTCCCAAAATAGTGCCACCAACTGGGAACCAAGCCCCAAACACATGAGCCATTGCGAGGGGGATACTCTATATATGCAAAACATAACATGCAAGAAGAAGCCTTCAGTTTCCACTTGGATTTCAATAGATAATTATGGGATTTTTAGAACTCAAAGGGACAGAGCTCATGTAGTCCAGCCTTCTCAGGTTGCACATGAAGAAGCTAAGTCTTAGAAAATAGCAAAACTGATTTCCCAAGGTCAGTTCATTGGAGATCAGATTCTCAAACCAGTGTTTTCTTCTTTTTTAATCCTTGATCTTCTTCCCATTGGTTAAAAAATTCATGCAAATCACTATCTAATATTTGGCAATAAATGCACTGCTCTCTCTTTCAAATTGGCTTATGTGTACTCCAGACAGAAAGTTGAATCAAGGATAAGCTTTCTTTGTTTTAACTACTTCAGGGAATTAGATAAAAGAGATTATTGGTCTAGGGGCATACCTCAAGTGGTAGAGCACCTGCAACCTGCATAGCAAGTGCAAGGCCCTGAGTTCAAACCCAAGGACCACAAAAAAAAAGAAAATTCATAAGGAAGCATTCCGTTCTGCCATGAGACATTTGACAAGTCATGTTCCTACAACAGAAATAAATTAAGGAGATTGTGAGGATTTAAATATCTCTTATTACATGAAGCTCATATACCCAGAGATGTTTTATCTGAGGGAGTGTATGAGTTTTTTACTATGGGAGTAAGTAATACTTCTGGTTTATCTATTGGCAAAGCTTGTGGTTTTCTATCTCAACTTCTCTGGGTTGTTTAATATGTTGACTGTTCAAAGCAAACTCCTTTCTCCTCGGGCTTCTAGAATACCATTCCTTCCTTGCTTTCCCTATGACTTCACTATCATAACTCCCAAGCTTCATTCTCAGCTGCTGCTTCCTATTTGTAAAGAGCTCATCCAGTTTTTCCACTTTAGGTGTGGCTTCTCAATAACTAGTCTCAAATGGATATCCTCACATCTGACTTTTCAAATGTCTTTTAGATGTTCTTTTCCATAATTCTAGTGGTCATCTCTAGGCAGGCCCACCATCCTCTGGTCAGACAGTGGCGCTCTTTTTGCCACCCTTAATTCATTCTTGCATTGTGTTAGGTAGAATTTAGCTCTGTGAGAGTCAGATATTTTCTCTTACCCTGTAGCAACCATCCCACTTCTCCAAGTGTTCTGGATATAGGAGGTATGTATAAAGATCATATGGGGCCCAGAAATTTGTCTTCCTTCTTCCAGGATCTTGACTGCAAAGAGAACCAGGATAGTGGATAATAGGAGTCACTAATACTTTTCTTGTCACACAGAATTGTACAACTGAGAAACTTAGACAAGGTGTCTACAAGGCACCAAGTCACAGAACCTAGATATCAACAAGGAAAAACAGAAATCTGCCCTTTTTATTCTCTGAAATTATTTCCTTTTTTCCCTTAATTTTTAGTAAAAAAATTTTTTTTGAGAATGCCAGGCTAATTGATATCTAAAAGAAAGATTTTCTTAAAAAAAAAACAAAACTCATTCTAGAACGTTTAGTGGAGAGTAACTGAAACCTTGCTCAATTTGGGCAACCATGATTGACTGTAAGAACTCTCAGGGGGACACAAACACAGCAAACCAGAGTCAAGCTCCACCCCTCCCCCAAGACATGGACCTTCTGGCATCTTCCATTTACATACAAATGTAATGGATCTAGGTTTAGATCCTTTTCTCCTGTCACTACTTTCTACCTGGAGTGATCTTATTGATTTCCAAAATAGAATCTCTAGGGATTCCAAAATCCTGCTAAGCATTTCCTAAGTCTGTTCAGTAAGGTTTTCTCCAGGAAGTTCTGAGTACCTCCTAGGTAAGTAAAATAATCCATTTTGCCCAGTATGGTCATGTTTATGCATGTTACCCCAGTATAATTTTTCAGTGCCCCATTTTTACTCCTTAAAAGCATCCCAGTTTAGGGCTGGCAGAATGGTTCAAGTGGTAGAGTGCCTACCTAGTAAGTGTGAGATCCTAAGTTCAAGCCCCAATACCATAAAAAAAAGGCATCCCAGTTTA